TACACACACACACACACACACACACACACACACACACACAGAAACACACATGCACACACATGGATATAGTTCCCCATTCTCCCACATGCATGCCTCTGTGCACATGCTCTTGAACTCTCCACTACTTCACACATCCTTGTATTCATAAAGCTCACAAGCACAACCCTCACAAACCCACTAGCACACTGGTATATTCACACTTTCTTGTACATATCAAATTGTGCAGTCATACAGTGCACATGTGGGTCACACATACATGCACCTACAGAAATGCACAAAACAACCTGGAAAGCCAGAAAATGAGCAGAAATCCTAATGCTCTTCACTGGGCATTAATATCTGGGTTTTTACCTTTCAGAGGACTCTGTGGTTGATCCTGCCAAGTGACTGTTTTATTTTCCTGAATTCCAGCTGCCTTTAAATAGCTACTGATCCCCGGAAGTTTGGGGTTGCTGAAGCATATGGTTGAGGGGTAGCTAACTGAGGTGTGGCCAGTTGTTGGACTCAAAAATTAGCATGTCCATGTCCCTGGGCAATCTCCTGTTCTCCCCTCTCATCAGGTGGCAGGACAGAAATGAATATTGGAAAGTCTTTCGTTCTATGAGCTGTGCCAAAATAAATTTCAGGTCATTCTGAAGTCTTTCCCATGGCTTAGCTCCTGACTGGGTAAATTTCCATAGCCAGCTCTGGGTATGCTTACCAGTCAGTTACTTCCCTGCAGCCAATTTCATGGTGGACAGGGACTGTGTGCTCTGACGGGCTGTGGGCTGACCGGCACAGTAAATGGAACGGTTACTGGGTAAGCATTGCTCCTTCTGCTTAGCATGGCATTTGAGAATTGAGAGGAGCATTTAGTGACATCCATTCATTCCATCCATCAAACATTCATTCACAGGAAATGAATACTAAGCTTCTATAAAGTTCCCATGTAAATCTTTTGGGCAGTGATGCAGACTATACCCTACTCCTGCCCCTGGGGTCCCTGCAGTCCATCAGGAAAAGTGTTGAATGGGAAGATTCCTTTTTTTCTCTAACTGGAGCCAGTGAATCAATCTTTTCTTCCCCTTCATTCTATTTCTCTGTCATCTCCAGTGAGTTTCTAATTCCGGGAAATCCAGGGGCTGTCAATGACACTCCCACCAAGCTGCTGCTTCCACCTTAGCTCCAATCCTCCTGTGTTCAGAGACAGGCCAGGTAATTCTCCCCTAAGCTATTGCTTCTTTATTCTTCAGTCTTTACTCCAGCTTTAATTCCTAAAGTAAATACCTTTTCCTTGCTCGCCAACCTGTGGTGAGAATGATGGAAACACCCAAACACCAGTCCTAAAATGTTCCTGTAGCTGAGCCTTTGAGTTTGTGAACATTTTATTTTTGCAGCATTTTCTAACCCCTCACAAGTGTGCAGTCCTGAGCCTGCTTCCAGTGTGAGCGTATGTGGAGGGTTACTTCTGGGCTGAGACCAGGGAAAACCAGGAGCAGCTCCCAGCTTTTCCCAGCCCTCGTGGTGGACTTGGAAGCAGTCTGTGTGCTGCACTGTGGCATGGAGCACAGCTGTCCCTGAAAGCCCTTCTGCCCTCAGTGGACCTAGCATGAGTGAGGAATAAAAAACATTTGTTATATTAACCGACTAACAGTTCAGATTTGTAATTATTTCAGCACCATCCAGTTTATCCTAAGAGCTATTCAGGCAGCTTTCCTTTTGTAAGAAATAAAAATATTTTAATTGGTCCATATTTCATTAAGCACTTTAACAAGCCCTAATTCACAGAATTAATCGTTTCAAGTGCCAGACACAGACACACAGGCTATGAAATGGCTCACACCAGCAACCAGGTTCTGAGGTAAGACATAATTGCTAGACAAATAAGTTTCCATGAATTTCAATCCCAAGAAACCAAAAAAATCATAAATAACTACAAAAAATGCACAGAGGGAAGAAGGGGCACAAAGGGAGAGGGGAGAAAGAAGTAATAGGGGTCAGGCAGGATAGACTGTGAACCCCAGATCCCAGGCCATGGAAGATGGGGAGAGGGATTCTTGTGAGTCAGGAATAAAAGCACACAGCTTCTCAACTTGTGTGTGCCTGTCAGGTCAGACACCCAGGCTTGGAAGACTGACTGTGTTTGCTGTTCTTTCTGCCTCTGGAGTCCATTTTCTGGGGGGATCT